GCGTTTTGACTTCAAGCGGCAGCTTAAGCTGCGTTTCAGCACAGCTGATAAACTGTTTTTCATGCCAACATGTAAATTCAATCTTTACACGAATACACAGTCATTTATGAGCACGTAACGGGCCACCAAATGTAGTATGACATATGCTGGATATATTCATACATTTTTCACGAGTTCTTCATCTTTCTGACTGTGTAAATGTCGTGCATTGAGTTTAACAGAAATGTAACGAGAGAGACGTTATTTATCTTTGACCCATCAAATGAATGCGGTCATTTATTTGCAGAATCAAAGTTTAACATCAAACATTTACATTAATTTGGCAAAATATGAAAACAATAACAATGGCAAGTTCACAGAAAGTGGACAATACGGCGATTGTCCTCACTTCTCAGCAGAATAACAGACATCAATCACACGGCGGTGATTGAGAACTTTGCTTCAGATATTTCTAAAATATCTGTAATGATTTTAGGAGAAAGGAGAGTTTAAGATGGAAAATGGAGATTTATCTTACAGAGAGATGTGTGAGGGAATTTATCTGTAGGACCAGAACAACACGCTCTTTGGGGAATCAGCATGGCTACGGTACGCTTGGTCGAAGTAGAACCTTTACCTGGTTGATGATAAAATCAGCGTCGGCGTAGGGTTCCTTTCTGACTCTTTCAGCGTCTCCGTGAGGACTGCCAAACCCTTAGGAGTCGTGCGAGGTTATCCAAACAGAAGTTATAATTCCCAAAATCCTCTCTGCATCCTGGATTGTCAGAATTCTGAACTCCTTCAGAACTCTCTTCAGAGAGTTAAACTCTGGAACTCTTCTCCCTGAGCTGCATCAGAGAGTTTTTCATCTCTCTTCTCCAGGAGAACTGTCACTCACTGTAACTCTTTAACTCTAACTCTAACTCTTGCGAGAACCGGGAAGTTGCCACATTTAAATGGGTTGACTTCCGGGTCATTTTAGAGCTTTCTGATTGGTGGATGGACCAGATCAGAGGTGTGGTTTGTGATGTAAGGTGTTATCAAAGTCAAGGGCAGAGAATGAGATTGTTTAAAACAGACAGAAAGATTATTGGAGAAAACCAGACTTCGTGGAGTCAAACTCTCCTGTATCTTCTGTGAAAGTTAAACATGACATTTCTTCTCGGTAAACATTTTAGTTGACCGAAACTCGACCTTTAACATACTTACAAATTTGCTCATTGAAGACAGAAAAATCAAGAAATGCATATTACCCTGATTTCTTCTTTGAATGAGGAATAAAAATCATTACTTACTGTTTATGTAAATTAAATGAGTAGTTCTCTTCAACCTGTAAACATTGAGTGAACTAACACAATTTGATTATCAAACATTTGTAAAATAGTAATGATTATAGAGAATTGTCTTTTCTACTTGATTAATTCAAGAAAGAAAGTCTCCAGATGGCTCAAACTGCATTTCTGGATGCAGATCAATGAAATAACTGTCTCTGTCCATCTGGTCAGTTTTGACATAGGCCTAGTCCACTACACTATACATAAAGCAGTAAAAATCATGTGAATTGACTTTGTCTCCAAGGTGACATCATCTAAGTGACCCAATAAGCAAAATGACGGAGAGAGTGGAATATTACAGCTCAGACACTTTGATAAGTCTTCACATATCCGGCACCAAAACCTCTGAACAGGTGGACAGAACCAAAATGCGTGGATGTGATTGTCAGGAATAGTTTGTACACTGTGAGCAAACATTAGATGATGCGAAACCCATCCTGAACATCCGTTGACCTGTGTAGTGTACTCTATGAAGGATTTTGTATTGTATTAATTGTAAATTGGGGTTTTTAATCATCTTAAAAGTTCTTAAGACATATCTGAGACCAGAAGTTTTGGTCAAAGTTGACTGACAAGTCTGTCTCCCATTTTACAATGGGAAGGGATATTGATTCATCTATTTTAATGAGTGTCCGGTAAACCTTAGATAGTAATTTGGGAGGGTTAAGATTTAGGAATTCTAATACACTTGTTGGTATTTCAATTCTAGTTTAACCGAACTGCACCGGTCGGTGTATGTATTGAAACGTCACTCTTTTTTCGGTGTCAAGTTTCGGTATTGGCTGTAATGTGTCACATGGTTTCAGCACGCAGGCAGGTAAAACACCAGACATATGACAAAACAGACTACATGTTTACACCCAGAGCTGTATAGAGCTGCCGCACCTAATCTATGTATAATGTATGTCTATGGTGCTGGTGATGCCCACAGACGGGGTTCACGTGTTCAGCGCGTGTGTTGTCGAACGGCTCCGACAACACACGAGCAGAAAGTTGCTCCGTGTTTCTCTGCAAGAAGACAAGAAGCAGCCTCCCCCCTCCTCCTCTCAGCGTTAGTCAGTCTCTGTGTGTGTGAAACGGACTGAATCAACATTCCACAGCCGGACTTGTCTTCATCAAAGAACTCCGAGGACAGAGCTGTGTCTGTGTTTCAGCTGGTGAGTTTACGTTTGTTAACGTGACTGCAGCTTAACACGTACATCGCGGTGAAATAACGCTAACTTTAAGATATTGGTGTGTAAATTTATTTTATCTACGTAGCTAGCTAAACTCAGAAGCTAACTAAAGATTGACAGTAACAGATAAATCTTAGCTTGTAAAACTGCTCATCCATCCAGTCAGCTGCTTAAACAGTTCACTAATGTTCACTGTTTATGTTCTCCTCACAGGAGGTTCTGACCCAGATGTGAGGACAGACAGAAAAGTGAGGTGGGGCCACAGGACAATTACAGACTTTGATGTTAAAAGTTTGCTGTCTTTTCGACAGTGGAGCTGCACGGTGGAGGTAAGTTAAGCTGTAAAAGATTTTGTTGACTAGTTCAACTTTTATCTCTCAGCCTAGATAATGTTTTTTGAGCAATAATAACACAACCATGTTATTGTTGATGTTTTGTTCTCATGTCAGTTAGGGAGATGATTAGAGCCCTAAACCCCAGAGAACCACAGAGAAGATTCAGGCAGACAAAGAGGTGCAGAAGTCTGCATCAACCCTAACCTCAGTGAATCCAGTGACTGCTGGTAGGATGTGAGGGACACTATGCCAGTGCTATCAAACTGACAACCAGGTATCTGTGTGTGCAACAATCATCATCCACACCCTCAGAGTGAACATGTTTTACTGCTGGAGACACCATCAGCCAGGAGTGGGCTTGTTTGTGTCCAGAGAAAACAGACGTGTTGATGTTTCTGAAGACAAACTGTTCAGTGAAAAGGTCCTCAGTGTGTAGCAGTGAGCATTAGACACTGACATGTCACTGGTTGTTTGCAACTGTTCTTTTGAACTGGAAATTATTTGTTTATTTTAATGTAAGAAAACTGCTTGGAATAGAAATACCAAAGTTAAAAAATAAAATTCACAATATGTACTGTAATGTGTAATGTAATTTTATTGTTAGAATTAATATAAATTACAAAACTGGTACCGAAAAAAGAACCGTCCAGGAACCGAAACCGAAGTGAAGGTACAGACACCTGTACAGATTTTTTTAGAAAGGTACCCAGCCCTAAACCTGAGCACCTTAGAAATTAATTTTTCAGTCTTTCTCCCTCCTTAGATGACATTAATCTGTCCTCCAGCTCTAATGTTAAACATCTTGGTGTTATTTTTGATCAGGACATGTCTTTTATCCCCCACATTAAAAACGTTACTAGAACCTCCTTCTTCCACCTGCGTAATATCACTAACATTAGAAACATCTGATCCAAAGATGATGCAGAAAAACTGCTCCATGCATTTGTCACGTCTAGACTAGACTATTGCAATGGTTTATTATCTGGGTGTCCAAATACTTCTTTAAAACGTCTTCAGTTGATCCAAAATGCTGCTGCCAGAGTCTTAACTGGAGTTACTGGGAGAGATCATCTCTCTCCAGTTTTAGCTTCTCTCCATTGGCTCCCTGTCAAGTCCAAAATTGAATTTAAAGTCTTACTGCTAACCTACAAAAGCTCTCAACAACCTAGCTCCATCTTATTTTTGAGATCTTGTTCCATATTTTCCTAACAGAGCACTTTGCTCTCAGACTGCAGGCTTACCTAGAGTTTCCTAGAGTTTCCCAAAGCAGAATGGGAGGAAGATCTTCCAGTTCTCAGGCTCCTCTCTTGTGGAACCAACTTCCAGTTTCTGTCTGTGAGGCTGACACATTGTCCAGTTTGAAGACTGGGATTAAGACTTTCCTTTGTGATAAATCCTATAGTTAGGGTCGGCTTGTTATGCTGCTATAGGCTTAGACTACTAGAGGACAAACTGACCTCATTTCCATGATTTGTTAAAAATGAATAGCTTTTATTTGATACGATTTCTATCTTAGCATGTGATTCTTGACCTGCCATTGTGTATCTGTTCCTACCAAACCCAGCCGGTCGAAGCAGATGACCGCTTGTCCTGAGCCTGGTTCTGCTAAAGGTTTCTTCCTCATGAGGGAGTTTTTCGTTCCACTGTCGCCTTCATGCTTGTTCAAGATGAGAGTTCTGTGATGGAGTTAAATTCAAAGCAGTCTGATGCTCAGATAAATAATGTTAAATTATTATTTTTATATATGAATGTTTCTGTTCAGAGCCCTGAGATGACTTCTGTTGTGACTTAGCACTATATAAATAAACTGAATTGAACTGAATTAACCAACTGCTGTTTGAGGTCCGATCTGAGCAGGAAATGGGTTATAATTCTGAAGACCATAAAACGAAACAATGAATGAAGTTTCCTGATGCATGCTCAATAATCCAGGTAGAAAAATCTAAAAAAGTTAAATCTGGTCCTCTGGACCTCTGGACTTGTTTTGTTTTTTTGAATGTCCAAAGGACCAGATTTAACTTTTTTAGAATGAATGAAGTTATTTACATCGATCACATAAACATTCTTAAAATCAAAGATACTGCTGCAGCTTTTACCTACAGCTTCCACCATATTGACTATAGTCTTCCCTAAATATACTGTCCTTTGTATCAAACAAAAAATATGTCCCATCTCACCATCTGTGGATCATTGGATCGGCTGACCCAGCCTGAGATCAGTTTCAGAGTTTCTCGTTTCACAGTTCTCATACTTCGGATCAGGGGCTGTTTTGTCACCATCTCACCTGCAACACACAAAAATGGTATTGTGATTCTACTTGACTTCAAACACGTTTAATCTGCTTGATTAAATACCAGCCAACTGTTTACAAAAAGAGGACAGAATTGAACTGAAATTTATTTCACTAAATGACTTGTCCGAGTGGTCCCTCTTATTTTATTACTTGAACGTTAAGCCATACTTTACAGGTAAAGTATCACATTTATGCTGTCAAATGATCATTATTTTTCTCTTTCTACAGTTTAACTTGTTTGTTTCTCTCAAGTACTCACTTTTGTTTTCTTTCTTTCCTTCTTAACCTTATGTGTTATTTTTCACCACTTTCACTGTCTGTTCAAACAGATCTCACTTGTACATGAGTCTTGGAGGCTCAATGTGACTTATCTGTTTAAATAAAAGTTGAATGAATGAAAATATTCCCGTCGCACTCTCCACACTTGTTAGAACATTATCCTATTAACAATTCCTATCTTAGTCACATCCAAAACTTCCAAACATCCAATATTCACTTCCTGCTACCTTTGCGGTCGGTAGCATCTCGGCTCCTCTGCAGCCTCATAAACAAACTGACCAGATCCAAACCTGATTAAAAGTTTGGACCTTCTTCAAAGTGTCTTTGCCAGTCACTGGCTGCAGAGAGCCATACGGAACCAACCAGGGATTTGGACTGGACCACTTCCAGCCTCAGCGGTCAATCCGAGCGCTGCTTGACGGCTTAGGTGGCTTCTTGGGCAGGATGATGTTGGTTCGGATGTCCGATGTCTTCCCTAGAGCTCATATGAACTTTTTCATCAAGAGTCCTCTGGATTATTTGGATTTGTTCGGGACCACTGTATTGTTCTTTGTCGGTACTCTGAAAGTCTGGCTCTCTTCAAAACTTTGCAAACACTCCACTACCTCCAGCCTCAGCAGTCAGCTGAGCGCAGCTCACCAGCACAGGAAGTCTCTTGGGTGCAGAGGTAATGTTCACAGGATTGGTGTCACTAGAGCCAATTGAGCCAATCTCTTTGTCTTCTCTGGAGCAGGTGATGTGCAACATGAAGCCATCTGGTTCCCCCTTTGATGTGGTCCCCCCTCGACTACTAAAGGAGGTTTTTCCTACTCTGGGTCCCTCTATTCTTGATATTGTGAATAGCAGTTTATCCTCAGGTGTGGTGCCAAAAACTTTTAAACATGCTGCTGTCCAGCCTCTCCTGAAAAAAACAAACCTTGACCCCCTCAGTCGTGTCCAACTTCCGCCATGTCTCCAGACTCCCATTCACCTCTAAACTACTGGAAAAAATAGCTGAGTCTCAGATGAAGTGCTTCTTGGAGGATCACAATATCCTTGAGTTATTCCAGTCTGACTTCAAATCTCTCCACAGCACTGAAACTGCTCTACTGAGGGTTTTTAACGCATTTTCCTAGCCACTGATGCAGGTGATACTGTGCTGCTTGTCCTATTGGACCTTACATCTGCTTTCGACACCATCGACCATGGGATCCTCATTTCTAGACTAGAGCAGTGGGTGGGCATCACAGGGTCAGCCCTCTATTGGTTTAGGTCCTACCTCTCTGACAGAACCTTTTGTGTCAGTATCAAAGATTTCAGTTCAGCATCGGCAGCACTTCAGTGGGGGTACCGCAGGGGTCCATCCTCGGTCCCTTTCTCTTTTCTTTATACCTGCTACCACTAGGTGCTATTTTTCACAATAACAACATACCATTTCATTTCTACGCCGATGACTGTCAAATGTTCTTTCCCCTGAGGCACAGACGCACATGCTCTATTCAACCTCTTCTTGACTGCCTGGCTGACATCTGGGACTGGATGGCTTTAAACTTAAGTTTCAACAAGAAGAAGTCTGAAGTCATCTTGTTCCATCCCAATGACACGTGCATGAACCACTGCATTGACCTTTCCTCTCTAGCTCTGTTAGAGAAACAAAGAGTCATCAATTTGGGAGTGAAAATGGACCCTTCCTTAAAACTTAGTCATGTAAACATGATTGTTAAATCCTGTTTTTTTTTCAGCTGAGGCAGCTGTCTAAGTTGAAGCCCATATTGTCCAAAAAGAATCTTGAGACAGTGATCCATGCATTCATAACATCCAGGCTCGATTACTGCAATGCGCTTCTGTTTGGAATCAATCAATCCTCCATTGCACGTCTACAACTGGTTCAAAATGCTGCAGCCCGATTTTTAACTGGTACTGGTCATAGACAGCACATTACACCAGTTCTGGCCTCCCTGCACTGGCTACCCATTCACCTTTGGGTCCAGTTCAAAATACTCCTGTATGTTTTTAAATCACTGAACAGTTCTGCCCCATCTTATCTCACTGATCTTCTACAGCCATATGTCCCACCGCGCCCTCTGAGGTCAGCAGACCAGATGCTCCTTTCAGTTCCAGAAACCTGTTGCAAGCTCAGAGGTGACGGGGCTTTCTCTGTTGCAGGTCCAAGACTGTGGAATGAGTTGCCACTGCATGTCAGGCAGGCTCCCACACTCGCAGTCTTTAAGTCTCGCCTGAAAACCCACTTTTATTCCCTTGCCTTTGACACGGTGTGATTTGTTTTGATCCTGTCTGTAGACTATAGTGTTGGCTATTTAGTTATTATCCACTGCTATTTGTATCTTTATTTTATGTTTTCCTGTCCGCTGTGCTTGTTTGTTTCTATTGTACAGCACTTTGGTTGGCCTTGTTGCTGTTTTAAGTGCTTTATAAATAAATTGGTATGGTAGGGTTATGGTAAAGTCATTGTGACTTTGTGTGGAGCGGCTGTGGCTGAGTGGTTAAAGCAGACGTCCTCCAATGCGAGAGTTGGGGGTTCGAATCCACCAGCAGTCACATGTCGAAGTGTCCCTGGGCAAGACACTGAACCCCTCATAGCCTCTGATGTGTGTCCCATCAGTGTATGAATGTGATCTAAAAAGCACTGATTAGTCTCATTAGAATGATTTGTTCAATTAGCTTTGTAGAGATCTAGTAGTGCTGTATGAATGGGTAAATGAGGCACAGATTGGAGTGTAAAGCGCTATGAGTTTCTTGAAATATGATAGAAAGGCGCTAAGTACAGTCCATTTAGAGTCCATTTCTAAATTGTGCGACTGTCACATCGATTTCATTATCTTAACCTCAGGAGTGAGTTTAAAAACAGGATGATGCCTATATGGACTATATGCCCAGTGTTTCCCCTACCATTATACAAGCGGGGCGCCCCGCCCCATCAACAGAACTGAGTGCCTCGTCTACCGAACCCCACCCACCTGTCTGCACTGACGTAACGCTAAACTAGCGGCTCGCAATGCAGGTGCACTAGCTAAAAAACTAAAAGCAGCCTATTCCTTCACGCTGAACGCACCCCGCCACTCGAAAAATGTCAGTACAACGGTACAAACAGCGCACGGCTCAGATGTGCGTCTCTCTCCCCCCGCACCAGCCCCCCCCCCCCCCCGGCCAAAAAAAAAAAAACTGTCGGTTGAGATACATCTCTATCTCTCCTCTCATACGCACTGCTCTAAAACTGTCAGTACAAACAGCACGCGGCTGCCTCTGTGTCCCCCAAAACTTGGTTTAAACAGCACGCTGCGCAGCTGAGGACGAGTCTCCGTTACACACACACACTCCCCGACAAAAATCAGGGACGAGATGAGCGCCCCGCCATGGCAAGTTATCTAGGGGAAACACCGATGCCTATTACGGTTGTTTGGAACCAGTTTGACATGATTGTCGACGAGGAAAAGAGCTGGCAACAGAGGAGGGGACGTGCCAAAGAGACCATCTTAACACCAACATAACTGGTTTGTTCCACACTGGAGTAAGTTGTTGGGGGAAGAATCAGTTTTGTGTTGTGTGCTTCCTTGACTGATGAAGCCTTCTGGATGGAAGGTGAAACGTTTCAGCACAAGAAAAAGAAACTGTCCAGATGACCTGACTGAAAAATATTGGATTGTATACCTGGATTATTGAGCATGGACTTTGTTGCCTACATGGATTAGGTGAATGAGGTGCGTCTAAAATATCCTGATGCATGATCAATAATTTCAGCAATTTTTTTTTAATCTGTCCAGAGGACCTGACTTTATTTTGTTGATGTCTCTAAAATAATTATTGAATCAAGTGTTTATTATGCAAGTAAACGTAGATGTTAGTTGTTTCCCCGGGCACTTACATAGCTACCCACTGATATCCCAGGTGTGATGGGTTAAACGCAGACAGCCAATTTCGTCTTTGTATGGGAACATACAATGATGATGACACATATCACTTTATTATTTATTATGTTAAATAACTTGTTAAAATACATCAGAATGCAGGAAATGGTACCTACTTCATTCATCGTCACCAGCATATCTACTTCATGCAAAAAATTTTTGAATAAAAGTCTTGTCCTTAAAAGTTTTGTCATGGCCAGGCCAAAACATTTCATTAGTGAGTTTTTACTGTTAGTTTTTACCGTTAGGAAAAACATTACTAGAACTGCCTTCTTCCATCTGCGTAATATCACTACAATTTGAAACATCTTATCTAAAAATGATGCAGAAAAACTGGTCCATGCATTTGTCACGTCTAGACTGGACTATTGCAATGGTTTATTATCTGGGTGTCCAAATACTTCTTTAAAACATCTTCAGTTGATCCAAAATGCTGCTGCCAGAGTCTTAACTGGAGTTACTGGGAGAGATCATATCTCTCCAGTTTTAGCTTCTCTCCACTGGCTCCCTGTCAAATCCAGAATAGAATTCAAAACCTTACTTCTAACCTACAAAGCTCTCAACAACCTAGCTCCATCTTATATTACAAATCTTATTGTTCCATATTTTCCTAACAGAGCACTTTGCTCTCAGACTGCAGGTTTACTTGTGGTTCCTAGAATTTACAAAAACAGAATGGGAGGCAAATCTTCCAGTTCTCAGGCTCCTCTCTTGTGGAACCAACTTCCAAGCTCTGTTTGTGAGGCTGACACATTATCCAGTTTTAAAACTAGGCTTAAGACTTTCCTTTTTGCTAAATCCTATAGT